AAAAGCCCAAGAATTTGTATCTTCTCCTTCGACAAGATCAAAAGCAACTGGAAGAATGTTGCGATTGCCATCTTGGACAATTGCCAATAATAAAACTTGCTTGTATTTTCCATACAAGAAAGTCCCGTCGATCTGGACCACAGGCTTGAAGTATTTGACAGCATTAACGCACTATGGGTAACTCCAAAAAACCTGTAGAATTGACATCGATCGCGAAGAACTCGATCATTATGGCATGCATAAGAGGTTTCGAAGTCCACAATTGTCCCAGGATTCAACGTCTGAACTAGTCTAAACCAACCTGGAAGTTCGTTGTAAAATGTATCTCATTCGCCATGAAGTTTGACAATGGCATTTTGTTTTGCCAACCAAGCTTTTTTATAGGAGACAGTGAACCCATATTGCGATTGTATAGCTGAAATCAACACTGCAACAGCTATATGAGAGCTTATTTTTACCATGGGCATGATGGCTTGGCATATCATTTCAGAGTCCAAGATGGGATGATCTTGGTGGACCCCTCCAGCACAACATGTATGAGGACCGTTGTATACTGTTAGTTCCCATATGTTGTTTTTCCTCTTCATTTTTGATACGCGAACTATCCAATTGCATCCGTTTTTGCTTCGGGCATAGTAGCATACATATTTTTCGGTCGTGGATCGGTTGACTCTGGACTGAATAGAATTATGAATATTGTAATTTTTTATAGCCATCACCGCTTCTTCTTTTCTTGAAAACTCCATGTCTAAAGATAACTCACCATTATTTATTGATGAGTAATATCCATAGTCATCGAGATAAGGCATATCCGCAAATTCTGGCCCGTACTTTGCACCATAATCAGGTTCATACATGTGTGCAGGATGGTTAGTTTGTGCCACATTTCCTGGAACTTTATCATCATTAGAGTTGAATTACGGTGATTCTGGGTGAATGAATAGTCCAGTCTCAGTACCATCCACACCAGGCTCACGAAGTGGTTCTTCTGGTAGAGATGATGGTTCCTCCATGCGCTCCACATTTAGGTCGAAGAACCTACTACTTGCACGTCTTCCCCTTGAACTAGAAGGCATATCGACATTGAGATCGAAAAAGCTCGCAGTCGAATGCCTCCCCCTGGAGCTTGAAGCCATCATGTCAAATGAAAACTGCACAGATGGTTGCATCGATGGCATCTCCATATTAAGGTCAAACGGATTTGCAGATGAATGTCTTCCCCTTGAACTGGACGTGATGTTGCCATACGGATTATTCGTCGACCCACCTCGGTACATATCGTAAGGAGTTGCGGATGAATGTCTCCCCATTATGACTTTAAAATAATTACACATTACTGACGTCGGGTAGTTAACTTGATCAACTTGTTCAGCCAGCCCATAGTGGGAGCTTAATGATTGACCCCGAACGACACACACTTGAATAAAATTTGCATACATCTCAATATCGGCGTCTGAATAATTACTTTGAGCTTCAACCATTATTTCAACATCATCATTGTTCAAAAGTTCGAACGATGTATAAGTTAAGGGCAACAATGATGCTGGAAATATGTACTGCAACGACGACATTCTTCTACTACTTCCAACATGAATCTTCCTCGAAATCTTCGTTATCAGCTCCTCAAGAGTTATGTTTCTCTTCAATGATATTTTAACACGCTCATTTGATATGAAAACAACGCCGGTTTTATCTTCTCGAATTTCACCATCATAATAAATAATAGCTGAAAGTCGCGCCATTCTTTGAGTTTAAAAGTGCAACAATATTATATCTGCAAAAAAAAAAAACTGAAACAATGCTGATTAAATAAATAATATATGAACAAAAATATAACAGAATAAAATTTTTACACATAAACGTAAATAATTTAAATAATATAATTTTATATTATTACTTGTACCACAAAACTATTTCGACGCATATTCCCGTTTTCTAATTTTACAAACACAGAGATTAATTGACAACAATTAGTACAATTTTTTTTCAAATAATCATAATAAAAAATAAGTATAATAAAAAAAAATTATCACAAAATTACCTTATAACGAAAAAGCGCACGAACTTCTGAATCAAATATGAGACAATTGTCAGAATTATTGACTCGTTGACGGAATTGTTGTATTAATTTATAAGTTGAAAGGAGAGATGTGAGGAGATGTGAGGAACTTAACCGGGGGAGAAGGGTATTTATAGCTGAGAAAAGTTACTATAATTATACAAGGCGCGGTACCTGCACCGCGTCTTATATAATTATATCAGTTAAAGGTATGACGCGGCCCCTGCCCCGCGCTATATATAATTATGTCAGAGAATTAAAGGTAAGGCGAGACCCCTGACCCGCTCTATACCCTACGTGGCATAAGGCGCGCTCCAGGGGCCGCGCTATACCCACGTGTATCCATGTCAGCATATAGCGCGGTTCATAGGGTGCGTCTTACCCCAACGTGGCACCAAATCAACATATAGCGCGGTGCAAGGGGCATGCTTTACTGCAAAGGGTGTTAGATCGGGAAATATAGTCTGACCAATATTAGATCGATAAATATACCGATCACCGGTGATTTTTTGGGAAAAATGCCCCTAGTACTGCGGTGCGGGGAAGTTTCGTTCACCACCATTTTTTTAAGAAAAGAATGATTTTAAAATAAGAGCTCAATAAGAATAAATAAAGCCGCGAAGAAGCAATAAAGAGAGAAGCATAATGGATACCAACAATAGCACAAAGCCTAGATTACTGTGGGAAACCAAAACTTCCATTTTCTCGCTCATTTTCTCGGTAACCAAACAAACTTTAATCTTCTCTCCCTCACCCTAGGTTTTCTCAAGTTTGATCTTCAATTTTGTAATAAATCCTAAATACGGGAAAAGGAGGATAAGATTATGGGAAACGAGAATTTGCGGCCTTCAAACAAACATATCAAGATGTGTTCCCCTCTTGGGCCAAAGATATCCACGAATGCGAGAAGCATTATGGAGTTAGTCGAAAATCGGGATTATCGTCAGTAGAAGTTGAGAATAGGTGCAAGATCTACGGTTATAACGAGTTGGAAAAGCACGAAGGGCAATCGATATGGAGTTTAATCATGGATCAGTTCAACAACACTTTAGCTCGAATCCTACTTCTGGCGACGGTAATTTCTTTCGTACTAGCTTGGTACGACGGCAACGAAGGCGGCAAAATGGGAATTACCGCCTTCGTTGAGCCGTTGGTGATATTTCTGATATTGATTGTGAACGCGATCGTCGGTGTTTGGTAAGAAAATAACGCTGAGAAAGCATTGGAAGCTTTGAAAGAGATCCAATCAGACAAAACTGTCAGATTTGCACCTGAGAATTGTGAGAAAGGATTTCAGAAGAAGAAGAAAATGTAGGTTTACAGAAAACGTGCTCTTAATTTTCATTCATAACCCTAGATTTTGCTTACAATTCATATATATATTTTAGACTATTCAATTATTTACTAACAACTGTTATATTCCTTAACAACCCTAACTGATTATCCTTGCTTCCTTCAGCCATGACTCACCCTTCCTCAGTCCTTGTTTGTTGCTGTAACTCAATCATTTCTTCAATTTTAACTGCATCAGGTAATTTCTCCATTTCCCCTCTTTTATCATTATAAATCCCTAATTATTTTTTCAAATTCCCAATTTCCTGACTCACAATCCCTAATTCTTGACCCCCAATCCCTAATTTCCCTCTAGGGCCATGACAATACCTCCTCCTGCAGTCGATGCTTATCCCTAAGGATCGAAGTCAGGGAACTGTGAATTTAACACCGTAAAGCCTTCCCATGTAGCATTTTCTGGACCTAAATTCACCCACTGAATTAACAACTGAGTTATTGCTTTCTTGTCTTTCTTCACCATTTGTTTGTCTAATACCAGAAGAGGATAAACACGAAGCTGACCATCCGCAGTGACTTCTGGTGGATCTCGAGAGGTAACTTTCTTGTTCCCAATCTTCTTCTTCAATAAGCTAATATGGAAAATAGGGTGTATTTTTGAGTTATCAGGTAATTTCAATCTGTAGGCCACTGAACCAATTTTTTCTATGATTTTGTAGGGTCCATAATATCTTGCAGACAGCTTCAAATTTTTTCTGAGGGCTACTGATGTTTGCCTATAAGGCTGTAGCTTGAGGTAAACTTCATCACCCACCTGAAACTCTCTATCACTTCTCTTTTTATTAGCATAGTGTTTCATGCGTTGTTGTGCTCTGTCAAGTTGATCCTGTAGGACAATGTTCATATTATCCCTTTCCTGTAATAGTTGTTGTACATCTTCCACTCTAGAGTCTGTTAGCCATGACATAGTAGGAGGAGTATATCCATATAAAGTTGTAAATGGGGTTGTTCCCAAGACAGTATAGAAACTTGTATTATACCACCATTCAGCTTGTGATAACCACTTACTCCAATTAGTAGGCTTCATAAAACACATCCCACGCAAATATTGTTCTAAACACTGGTTCAATCTTTCTGTTTGGCCATCAGTTTCTGGGTGGTAGGTTGTAGTGAATAAGGCTTTAGTTCCCAGTAACTTCATTAATTATGTCCAAAAAAGGCTGGTAAAAATCTTGTCCCTATCAGATAAAGCAATCTTTGGTTGTCCATGTAATTTATAAATCTGATCCAAATATATTTTTGCTACATCTGCTGCAGTAAAAGGATGTACCAAAGGTAGAAAATGGGCATACTTGGTAAACTTATCAATAATAACTAGGATACAATTGTACCTGTTAGAAGTGGGAAGACCCTCAATAAAATCTATTTTAACAAATTTCCAAGCTTGTTGGGGAATTGGAAGAGGTTGTAGTAATCCTGGTTTCAACACATGTTCATCCTTAATTCTTTGGCAGACATCACACTGCTGCACATAGCTATTAACCATGTTTTTCATCCCTTTCCAATAAAAATAGGATTTCACCTTGTGGTAGGTAGCTTGTATACCAGAATGACCACCTTGGGGTGAGTCATGTAAAGCTTGTAAGATCTGTTATCTTAGGGAACCATTCTGTCCAATATAAACCTTACCCTTGTATCTTAGGATACTTGCAGAATAATTCCAGTCTGTTGCATCCTGATTAGAGATAGCTAACTTAGTGACCAATTCTACAGCCATAGGATCATTTTGGTAACTCTGTTCAACCTCCTGAACCCAAGTAGGAATGACAACAGTAGTACTCATTTGCTGTAATTCTACTTCATCCTCATCTCTCTTAGATAATGTATCTGCTGCCAAATTGTGTCTACCTTTTCTGTACTGAATTACATAATCCAGTCCCAACAATTTTGTAAGCCCTTTTTTCTGTATTGAAGTAGTTAGCTTCTGTTCCAGCAAATGTTTAAGAGCTTTATGATCTGTTTTAATAATAAAAGGCCCTCATTCCAAGTAATGTCTCCATTTGGAAATAGCCATGAGTATGGCTAAATAATTTTTTTCATAAATGGATAAATCCAATTGTTTGAGTCCCAAAGCCTTGCTAAGATAGGCCACTGGTCTACCTTCTTGAGATAAAACTGCCCCTATTCCTCTAGAACTTGCATCTGTTTCCAAACAGAAGCTTTTACTGAAATCAAGTAGTGCTAAAACAGGAGCATGACACATTGCATTCTTTAAAAGTTCAAAAGCAACTTTACTTTCCCCTGTCCATTGAAACTGGTCCTTCTTAAGCATGATAGTTAAGGGCTTGGTAATTTCTCCATATCCTTTTATAAACCTTCTATAATATCCTGTCAACCCAAGGAAACCTCTCAAGGATTTAAGAGTTTTTGGCAACTTCCACTGCTGCATTGCTTGTATCTTTGCTGGATCAATAGCCACCCCTTGCTTAGATATAATGTAACCCAAATATTCCACCTTCTTTTGACCAAAGAAACATTTTGTTCTTTTAGCAAACAACTGATTCTTCTTTAGAACTTCCAAAACAGCCCTAAGATGCCTAACATGGCTCTTTAGATCATAACTGTAAATAAGTATGTCATAAAAAAACCAGTACAAATTTTCCTAAATAAGGACCAAACAGCTTGTTCATTAATGCCTGAAAAGTTATTGGGGAATTTGTTAATCCAAAAGGCATAACCTTAAACTCAAAGTGGCCATGGTGAGTCCTAAAGGCTGTTTTAGGAATGTCTTCAGGAGTAATTCTAATATGCCAGTATCCTGATCTCAAATCCAGTTTAGAAAAGTAGGCTGCTCCAGTCAACTCATCCAGAAAATATTCTACCACAGGAATTGGAAACTTGTTTTTTATAGTTAAGGCATTCAGCTGCCTATAGTCTATACACATCCTCCAACTACCATCCTTCTTCTTTACTAACAAACAGGGTGAGGTAAAAGGGCTTTTACTGGTTTGAATTATGGAAGAGGGCAACATTTCTTTAATTTGTTTTTCCACTTCTGACTTCTGATGATAGGGCATCCTATAAGGTCTAATGTTCACTGCTTCTGTACCCTTTTTTAGTGTAATGGAATGATCATGCTCCCTTAGGGGTGGCATCCCTTTTGGTTCCTCAAAAACAACTGAATATTCTTCTAATAAATCATGTAGTTCAACAGGTACCATCTCAGTGTTGATCTCCCCACTTAACATAAAAATTTCTCCTGATATGTCACTGTTCTTCTCCATCAACTTCTGCAACTTACTGTCTGAAATCAATTTAATAATGGGTGAATTTTGTCCTCCTCTTAAAGTAATTTTTTCCCCATCTTTTTGAAAACTCAAAGTCATATGAATGAAATCCATCAATAATGGGCTATACTTTTTCATCCAGTCCACTCCAAGAACCATGTCACTCCCTCCTAGAGTTAGAACTCTAAAATCATATTCAAACTGAGAACCTTGTATTCCCCATTTTAACTTTTTACTCATAGCTGAACTGTACAACTTTTCACCATTAGCAACTGTAATAGTCAAGGGATTAGTTTGCTCCAATTCCACTCCTTCCTTTGACCACTGACCAGATATAAAGTTGTGTGTGCTCCCACTATCTATGAGAATGTTTAGAGGTTTTCTTGATATGTGCCCTTGAATCCTCAGTGTGTTGTAGCATGTCTGCCCAGTTATGGCATTAATAGAAATTTCCAATTCTCCCTCTACAGGATCAAGACCTGTTGTCACTACCTCATTATTTCTTTTTTCCAGCTTTCCTGTATCCTCTAACTCCTCCATTGAATTTAGCTGCTTAACCTTACATTGATGTCCTGGACTGAACTTTCCTCCACATTTATAACATAGTCCATGTGTCCTCCTATATTCCACCAATGATGGTTTACTCTTATTTAAATTTTGAGCAGTTCCTTTTTGTGATTGACTCAAGGTAGTTTGAGGACCCTTGTAATTAGGGCTCTGTCCTGTAGATACTATCTTAGGCTGAAACCTCAGTTTCCTGTTTTCCACCTCCCAAGTTAATTCAACCAATTTAGCCAATCTAAAAGCAGTATCTAAAGTTGTGGGATTATGAACTTTAACCCTGTGCTTAATTTATTCTTTTAATTCACTCAAGAAACTTGAAACAAAATACCATTCCTCCAAGAATGGACTATACTGCAGCATGTAAGACCTCAAGTCATCAAACTTCTCATGATAATCTTCCACAGAATTATTTTGAATCAGCTTGTTAAACTCCTCCACAATGTCATTACAATTCTAATCACAGAATCTATGACATATATCTGCTGTAAATTCATGCCAGTTCACCTTATGTTTCTGAGCTATATAGCCATCAAACCAGGTCTCAGCCTTCCCTATTAAATACATGGTAGCTAATTCTACTTTCTGACCTTCAAGTACTCTAAAGATTGAGAAATACTTCTGACATTTTTTACCCAGCTTTTAGGATTTGTTCCATCAAACATTTGGAGTTCTATTTTTGGTCTGAAAACATAACTTGAATGAACATCTTCCCCAATGGATGATTCTCCCATTTTTGTTGTGTTTCCTCCCATTTTTAACTTTTGCACATCCAAACTAGCATGAGGTTGATTTTCACAAAGTGGAGGTGTATTAACAGGTTTATGAGCTAATATTCCAGGTTCACCAGTCTTAAATGTATACTTCTCATGCTCACCAAGAACAGTAACCAAACATGGAAGTTTACCTTCATCTTTGTTTTGTTTTGCAGCTGCTGGTGGTTGACTCCTTTCTGACCGAGGTGAATCTTTTTTCTCAGCTGCCTGATTGACCAGCTGTAGGATTCTCTGCAGATAGCCTCTATTTTTAGTCATTCCCTCTTCCAATGTTTGTATCCTTCCCTCCAGCTCTGCTTTCTGTCCAGCCCACCAAGATAGTAAGGCCTCTTCATCCTTAACCTCTATTGCTTGCTCTTGTACCTCCACGGTTCCAGTCTTTTTCATCTTTTTTGTTTTACCCAGTGTGTAGATTTGTTTGGGATCACTAACTTAACTCTGATTACCAATTGTCATATTTGCACCTGAGAATTGTGAGAAAGGATTGCAGAAGAAGAAAATGTAGGTTTACAGAAAACGTACTCTTAATTTTCATTCATAACCCTAGATTTTACTTACAATTCATATATATATATATTAGACTATTCCTTAACAACCTTAACCGATTGTCCTTGCTTCCTTCAGCCGTGATTCACCCTTCCTTAGTCCTTGCTTGCTGCTGTAACTCAATCCTTTCTTCAATTTTAACTGCATCAGGTAATTTTTCCATTTCCCCTCTTTTATCATTATAAATCTCTAATTCTTTTTTCTAATTCCTAATTTCCTGACTCACAATCCCTAATTCTTGACCCCCAATTCCTAATTTCCCTCCAGGGCCATGACAAAAGCCACTGTGATTCGTGATGGAATCAAAATCCCTAATTTGCCGGCCAAAGAGCTTGTTCCCGGTGATGTCGTGGAACTCAAAGTAGGGGATAAAGTCCCTGCTGACATGAGGGTTTTGGAGTTAGTTAGTTCAACTTTGAGAGTCGAGCAAGGTTCATTGACGGGTGAGAGCAAGGCCGTTAATAAAACGAACAAGTTAGTTAATGAAGATGCTGATATTCAAGGCAAAAGGAGCATAGTTTTCGCGGGAACTACGGTGGTGAACGGAAATTGCATCTGTTTGGTTACGCAAATTGGGATGGAAACAGAGATAGGTAAAGTTCATACTCAGATCCACGTGGCGGCACAGAGCGAAGAAGATACGCCGTTAAAGAAAAAGCTTAATGAGTTCGGAGAGGTTCTGACGATGATAATAGGGTTAATTTGTGCTTTCGTTTGGTTAATTAATGTCAAATATTTTCTCAGTTGGGAGTATATTGATGGTTGGCCTAGGAATTTCAAGTTTTCGTTCGAGAAATGTACATATTATTTTGAAATCGCTGTAGCATTGGCTGTTGCGGCCATTCCAGAAGGACTGCCCGCAGTTATTACTACTTGTTTAGCACTTGGGACTCGAAAAATGGCTCAAAAGAACGCACTGGTGAGGAAGTTGCCAAGTGTCGAGACATTAGGCTGTACTACCGTCATTTGCTCTGATAAAACGGGGACCTTGACGACCAATCAGATGGCAGTAGCCAAGCTTGTGGCTATGGGGGGTGATGCGAGTAGTTTGCGAAGTTTTAGAGTTGATGGCACAACGTATAATCCTTCTGATGGGAAAATACATGATTGGCCAAGTAGCGGAATGGATGCTAATCTTGAAACAATTGCCAATATTTCTTCTATTTGTAATGATGCTGGTGTAACAAATTCTGACCATAAGTTTTTAGCTCATGGAATGCCGACTGAGGCAGCGGTCAAGGTTTGTTACAAGCTGTCGCAACCGTCTTTCGGTTGGGCCCCGAAATTGGGATTCGACTTGAAAAATGTGGATTGGAGTCGCCACCGATCATTTATTTAAAGATAAATGGGTTGATCGGATAACCTATTTCTTACCTGATCTGCGTCTTACCAGAAATATGTCGGGCTCGGGAGTCGGTTACGGTCAAGGAAGGATTAGCACCCTTGAACCGCCCTTTCGGTACTACGTAATTTCTAGTTGTCTTAATTAAGAAAAATAACAAGTTAAATTAAAAGATAAAATAATGATCCAAAATTACTTACCTTTGACGGATTTACAAATATACCCTTTAAAAGTCAAAATATGGGTTAGAAGAGATGAATAAATGATAAATAAAGTAAAACAAATAAAATAAGGAGATTAAGAAAGAAATAAAGTAAATATAAAATGAATAGAATATATAAAATAAAAAAACAATAACACTAATATATGCATAGCAAACAACTAAATAAAAATAAAATAATAATGCAAATAAATAAATAAAACAAATAAAAGAATATAAAAACATAAAATATAGGATAAATAAAAATAGATAAATAAATGAGTAAAATATATAAAAAAATAAAAGCATATATATATAAGTAAAATAATAATAATAAAAAAAAGAAAATCAAAAGTAATATACATATATATACATGCAAAATAGGAAATATATAAATATATATATAATAACACTAATAAAAAAACATATATACATATATAATAAATTAATAGAAAGTAATATGCATATATAACAAGAATAATAAAGTATGAAAAAAATGATTTAGGGGGGAGAATTAAATATTTTAAAAAATGAACACGCCTCGGGGGTGGATCTAGGTTCGAAACTTCGAAATCCCACCCATTTTTAGTCATCGGCGCAACCCACGTTTTGGGTTATTCGAACCAAATCTCAAGAAAAATAACGTGCACATGCGAGAAATGAACGAACCAATGTAAAAAAAGATGCTACCTTTTATTTCCTTTTCGAATCGTTTACAACAACTTTGCCTTTGTATTTTCCGTGCTTTCCTCTGTGTTTTGTGTGTAAAATCGTGTCTTATAATGGTGAGTTACAATGGCTATTTATAGTGCTTGTGGATCCTATCTTTAGGATTTAAATCATAAATTATATCCTATTTTTTGAATCCTAGCAAAATTTTATCATATCTTTAGGAGTTTGAATCCTAAAATTCTATCCTATTTTTAGGAGTTTGAATCCTAGTAGGACGAAAAATGTGTGTTGACAGCTGCCCCTCTTTGCCCATAGTCGTGTAACGGGGATAGGGCAAAGATTAAAAGACACACTTTTCGTTCAGTGGAGTTGAAAATTGACTCTGATGTTTCAATAACTCCCTGTCGAATTGAGTTACGGATGACTCCTCCATCGTGAAGTTGAGTTCATCTTGAAATGATATGAAATTAAAGCCGTAGTTCGGAATTTGAATCAGCACGTGGCTTCCCGTTACCCTTCGGTCTTCTTCTCGGTTTAAAGACCTTGGATCGGAATAGAACTGAGAAATCTTCATTGACAGATAGCTTTTTCTTGACTTAAGCTATGCTGTTTGAAAATGTTTGCTTGTCACTAAGGCACGGCTAACCCAGGTCCTCTCCTCGACTTGAAAACCTCGACTGCAACCGAAAAGTAGTGCGATTGATGTGTCATCGAGCTGAATGGAGTCGAACTCGACAATTTTGATGGCAAATAATCCTTCTTTGAGTTGGATATCCTTCGTCGTGAAGTTGAAATCCAAGTAAGTAGCATTGTTCCAAGTCCAATATCCTCCGTCGTAAAGTTGAAATTGGCTCTGGAACCGGAAAATTGTTTGTTGCAACCAGCCATCCCTTCGTTGTGAAGTTGAACTTGTGTTGTCTCGAGTCCAATATCCTTCGTTGTGAAGTTGAGATTGGCTCCGAAATTGTTTGTTGACAGTCAGCCGCCCCTTTGCTGTGAAGTTGAGCTTGTGCTGTCTTGGGTCCAATATCCTCCGCTGTGAAGTTGAAATTGGCCCTGAAACTGGGAAATTGTTGTTGACAACCAGCCGTCCCTTCGTTGTGAAGTTGAACTTGTGTTGTCATAGGTAGCATGATATCCTCCGTCGTGGAAAATCAGCTTTGAAATTGGAAAGTTGTTCGTTGACAACCAGCCGTCCCTTCGTTGTGAAGTTGAACTTGTGTTGTCTTGAGTGGCACGATATCCTCCATCGTGGAGTTGAAATCGCAGATGGCCACTTCGTTGTGAAGTTGAGCCTTGACTTGAATATCCTTCGTCGTGAAGTTGAAATCCAAGTATTGTATGTTGCGGGTGGACACAATTCCCTTCGCCGTGAAGTTGAAATCGTGGAGACTCCTTTATTGTGAAGTTTGGCTTCGAGCTAGATATCCTTCGTCGTGAAGTTGAAATCCACTCTCGAGCAAATTGTGTTGTTTCGAGAGAAACTTTCAATCTGTCGAGTTGGTCCAAGTGTAGCTTCTTGCTGTTGAGTTAAGCAACCAACATGAATCTTTAAAGATGTTTTTGAATCGAGTATCCTTCGTCTTGAAGTTGAAACTTGACTCTAAAAGCTGAAAAAAATTATGTATGTGGAAAATGATAAATATGATGCTCTAAAATGTATGCATAAGATGCATGTAACATGAATTGGTTATATTTTATCTCTTGAGAAAGGTCTGATAATTTGCATTAGGATGTTGAATCCCCAAATGATACCCCAATATCCAAAAATACCCCAATATTTGATGTTGAATCTCCAAAGATGCCCCAAATGTTCCTCATTTCTTGCTTCAACATTGATTCTGAGCATGAGTTTTGTGTCTAAGAGTCACATGTCATTTACCAAGATCCATTCTAGAGAGACTGTCTTGTTTGAAAAAAAAATGTTTTTCTTTCTCTTTTATTTTCAAAGTTATGAAAATATCAATAAAGAGTTTCGAAAAATGTTTAATCAAAAGTTTTGAAAATATTGTCCTTTCACGGTTTTACAATTGAGACGAATCATAAAACTAGAGTTCATTGGATATCAAATGTTTAATTACACTGTTAATCCTTCAATAAATTATAGCTATTTGACATGTGCCAAGATCAAAGCTATCTTTGGGAAATGGTTAAGTAAGGAAATGATAAAAAGGTCTCAGGTTATTATGTTTGGTCAAAGGTTTGGTATTTGATGCTCAAAGGTTTGATGGGGTGATTGCATGCTCCTCTACTGGAAGTGTTCTCCGACTCCCAGCTTTCATAGTCACATTTGGATTGTGCGATGCCTTATCAAGGAATTTGTGTGATCGCCTCAGTTGCAAAATTTTTATATTTGAGCCGCCTTTTCAGGTTTTCAACTCGAATCCTCCTTTGGTTTCAAGACGTTATTCAGGATTTACGTCTTGAACCCCCCTTTGTTATTTTTCTCTACCATGCATTAATTACATTGTTTTTTGCAAACAAAGATTAATCCTAATGGGCGGGATGAAATCTGAAGATATTCTCTTCTGTTTAGAAATCCATGTATGATTAGAATGGACTTTTAAGGCATGTAATATAGGCTAGGGTTCATGGTTATGAAAGAAAAGGATAAATAGGCCCAAACAA